TTTGGACAGCTGAGTCTTGAGGTACTGATATTTTCACTATCAGGCCAGAACCTAGGGTAATTTAAATGCCATAATCATTTAATTAGTCAGTCCACAAGCACTTATTAAGCATTTGCTACATTCCAGGCAGGGGCAGCTAGGCGGCACAGAGGATAGAGCACTGGGGTTGGTATCCCGAAGACTATTCTTCCTGAGTTCAAAACCAGCCTCAGACACAAACTAGCTATATACCTCTGGATAAGTCACTTAATCCTATTTGCCTCAGTTTCCTCATTTCTACAATGAGCTGGAGAAGGAAATGGCAGACCACTCCAGTACCTTTGCCAAGAAAACACCAAATGAAGTCATCCAGAGTCGGACATGACTGAAAGGACTCAACAACAACAAAATATGCCAGGAACTAGTAAAGCATTTCAGTAGCAATTAAATGAAAGATTCTGCTGCAAGGCTTTATGAACTGCACAAAGTCCCCTAGCATAAAGAATCTTAGTAGAGACAGATTTATAAAGCATTTCTATTGCTTCACCCTTGGGGGACCTGTGAGTAAGCTCCGGGTGGTTTATTTGCACAAACACTCAGACTAGTTGATTTACAGGTATTCTTTCGAGATATGTGTGTCTGGGCAGTGGTCCTACTCTGGATAACAGTGAGGTGGCCTAAGTTTTAAATGCACACTGAAAACTACCGAATTGATCAAATAAAATAAATATTCTGTGACATGTTTGAGGCTCTTTTATAGATGTCTTTCAATTGAAACAAAGATATGATTCACTTTAATCATCATCTCACTTTTGATTTATCACTTTTGTTTTCTTTCTGTTACTAAAAACATGGTCATAAAATGACATTTGGGTTGTATATATGGCATTTTCTGGGGAAAATTGAAGCCTGCATGTAGATCAATATAGTATCTTGAAGATAAAGTATAGATCTTGTCGTCCAATTTCAAGGAAGAGAAAATGTTGAAAAGTCCAAGCAAAGACTACTACAGCCATGAAGGGGATAGTTGGGATTTCCATATAAAGACAGTCTAAAAAAAAATAATATAATTCTTCAGCCTGAAAAGATGAAGGTCGAGACAGGACAAGGTCAAAATATATGAAATTGTGGATAGGGTAAATGTGATCCCATCACTTTCCCATAAATGTGAGAAATCAGCCCCAAGTATTTCTTATTGGCACAGAAGAAAGGAAGTGGTTCAGACAAGTGTGAAGAGGTATCTGGAGAAAATGTCAACATACTTAGGCTAACCCATCCCAAAATAAGAAAATGTATAATCCTATGTCATGAATTGGGCTCTCAATCAGACAAGTTTTAAGACCTGGGACCCATAATGTGCATACTGGTTATTGAAGCAGTCTTATCCAGCCTTATTAACTCATTCCTTCTCAGAACAAGCTCTAGTATGATTTTGACTAATTTCCTACCCTGCCCTAGTTTCATGCTTTATACACAAAGGTTCTCAATATATACTGTTGACTGATTTAGAAATATTTTTTTTTCTAAGATGAGCTATTTTGAGTATGCTGGCTTCTCCGGGCTCTTCTGGGTACTTTGTTCCTCCTGTGCCAATAAACAATGCTTGTTCCTCTGCAGTCATTTATTAAGACCTGTCATCTATGCAGCCAGAGTGAATTTTTCATCAGCCAGAATAAAATACCACTGTAAGACTGTGATAAACAAATGTGGATTTTTTTGGAGGGATTAAGTAGCTTCCAAGTCACTTACGGTCATACTGGTTTTATTTTTGAATGTATAGAAGCACTAACATCCATAGAATAACTGTATTAACCCAATTCCTTTTCAATTATAACAAATCCTGAAAGGGAAACATAGCCAAGGGGAGGGTGTGCATGCGTGTGTGTACATGTATATGTGTGTGTGTGTGTGTGTGAGTGTATATGTATGTTTATGTAACAGAATAAGACTTGAGAATCAAAGACCATGGCTTTTAGTCTCAGCTGTTCTAGTCTGTGTTATTCAGTGGTAGTTATGACATCTTCTATACCTTCAGAGTTCTTATCTGAAAATAAAAGAAGTGCTTTCAAACTCCCTTCTAAGGGGGTTTTAAGTAAAGGCCAAAGGATGAATTTCTAAATTCTTAAAATCACCAATGGCATTGGGGAGGGGGATATGTGTATCTGGGCAGTGGTCCTACTCTGGATAGGAGTCAGGTGGCCTAAGGAAAAAAATTCAGGCAAGATGGGCACCCTCATAGCGAAAACTTCTACCTAATCATACCTAGGATCATTTTTTTAACATATGGTAACAGTGGTAGCAGCTATGAATTCCTCTTAGTGTTTCCTTTTCATTTATCTCCTCCCAGACAAATAATTACTTCCTTGCAAATCTGTCTACTTCTGAAAAAAGCTACACACAGAGGATTCTAGGATTTGGAGTTAGTCACACTTGTATGGTACATTTTGGCTTGCAAAGCACAAGAAATCATCAAGTTCAGCAACCTCATTTTAGACAGGAGGAAACAGAATATTGAAAAGTAAAGGGACTTGACCAAGGTGATATAAATAGTAAACAACAGACTTGTGATTTCAACTCAAGTTATCTGACTCCAAATTCAAGACTCTTTCCCACATTCTACCTCATTTTCCTCATCTGTAAAAATGGGTGTAATGCTAGCACCTATCTCCTAGGGTTGAGATAATATTTGTAAAACACTTTACAAACCTTAAAGTACTTTGTAAATGCTAGTTGTTATTATTATTATTGTTGATATTATAATCAATATTATTGATACCTTGACTTATTAATGGCCATTGACAACATCGATCTTTGACTTATGTGTGAATACTAATGAAGTTCCGTTTAAATCCTACTGCTAAGGGGTAACATTTACTCTAGCTAATGCTGTTCAAATTATTTACTTCTAAAGGACTGTGCCTGCCTAGAGAATTAGGGCCTGGTGCTTCTTGGGATTTGCTAATCACATCTGGTTTAGCTTTAGATATTTTCTGGGGTTTTGCCAGCAGCCACGACACTTTAATGGCTACAATAAACCTCAGAGCCTCATCAAATCTTTGCTGTATGTGTGAAAATTATGTCCTCTTCAATTAAACATTTAATCTGAGCTCAAGTCGAGGTCTTATCGACAGGGAGGTTAAACCCAAAAGGGAATGTTAGATTAAACAAACCCACCATGACTTTGGCCAGTCTGCCCAGATGTTAAAGAAAAAGAAATTCATTAGAGAATCAATGGTCTATATTTTCTTTAAGTAGTTACTGGGTATCTTTTTATCCATAAAAAGAAAAAGAAAAACGATGGTACCTCTAAAGATTTTTGTTTAAGATCTCAATGTGTGTAGTGGGGAAGGACACACTGGTTTTAACATGTATTTTTTAGTGTTTTAAATCCTTTGGTATAGCCCAATGCAAACAAACAAACAAAAAAACCCCCCAAAACCACACAATAGAAGCAATATCTCTAGCCTTCTCTGTGAGGCCACTAAACTGGAGCTGGAGGGCCCCCATCATTTCCCTACAATCAACTAAGAAAAGTGTCAGCCAGTCAATAAGTGATTCTCAACTAGACCCCTGTGCTTCCCTGGAGGAAACAAAATAAATCAAAGTAGGGAGTTCCAGTGGAAACCACCACCTTCCTACTCTCTTCCTCGCACCCTCCTGCTTCTGACTTTGCAATTTATCATCAGAATCGTAGGGATGTCAAAGTGAGGCAGCAGAGGCAGGAAGACTGAAAGAGGCAGCCCCCGGATGGCAAGTTAGAGAAGAGGAAAGATCAAACGGAGATCAGGTTTCCACACAAAGGGATACAGGAGAGGGCAGGCCAAGGGTTTTACAGGGGCCAAGAGATGAGAAGAGATAGAGCACTCTTGGATGGCTCTATTGAATAAACAAGCACTGATCTTGCCCTACCATTGCTGACCTTTGCAGCTGTCTTGAAGGTAGATCCAACCATTGCAAAGGGAAAGGATAAATTGCTATATGATGGCTTTCTCTGTTTTACTACAATAAGAAATTGAGCTGTAAGGTCAGCTTGGGAAGAAGACAACACACACCACAGGTCTTAAGGAATTAGGAAGGGAAGTGCAAAACGACCACAGGTTCCCATATTGCATTTCCAAATGAACTGCCCATTTAGTCAAATTCACTCCTCCAACTATATCAAAAGAGGAAGGAACCCACATGTTTCTTTAATAAAATTTACAAGATATAAGTATTTGCTTGTCACCACCTCACTTATTTAAACAAGTTTTATGCCTAAAGTAAAAATAAATGGTTATTCCTGCATCTGGAAGATGATTATCCCTATTTTATTTCAAGTTTCAAGCTGTGACTAGTCAAAGAGTTAAGTTTCTAAGCTCCCTCTTACAATAAACATTTTTAAAAATGTTTATTTTATATCTCAGCATAAAAATTTTCCTAGCCGAAGTTTTTCATTTCCTCAAACTCCTCCTTTGGCACGCAGAGCTCCATTTCCACATTAACACTCTTCCTAAGACCTTCTTGCAGCTCCTCCGTTGTACTTATAACAGCGTTGAGGCATCGTTATGCTCTTGGGCAAAAGGATGTCTCCACAGTTAAAATGCAAGTCTCTGGAAATGCCAGAGGCAAATTCCTGCCTAAGGAAAGCATACTTTCACCTTTAAAAAAAAAATTGGGAGGGGGAGAGGTCCTCTATTTTATATTGAAGTATTTCAGAATCTGAAATAAGCAGAAATAGAACATGAAAAGAAATATGGTCAGCTTCCTGTGCCTTGCCATACTGCTCCCACCTCATTTTACACATGTTTCAAGTATGAACATTTACGTATGTGTGTATGTAGGAAAAGTGTACAGTATGAGAGTAACCTAAAAATCTTTAAACCTACTACATTAAAAAAAAGAAGAGTGGGAATTTTCATAAGGACTGTGGACCTTCAATATATACCACCCATAAGGACCATTAATATATACCACTCAGTAAACAATCCTGTGTCTAAAAATGCTCTCAATTATTATCGTAACAATGGAAAAATGCCCATTACCTTCCAATTGCCTCTTCAGCTTTCTCAAGTCTTTAATGAGGTCTTCAAACTTGACTTGGGCAGCCAGAAAGAAATCCTGTGGTTCAGGGAGAGGAAAAATACTCTTCTCTGTTCCTGCCTCCTAAGAAAAATGTATACATGGAGAGAGAATAAATAAAGCACAATCCTCTAGCACTACTTGTAGTTAGAATCTCAAAGGGGTGATACTGACAGGGAAAGAAAACATGTTTTGTATAGTGTTAGAATAACAATCATAATGTTTTATTCTTTCTATATATGAACTATGTTCCCTCTCTGGCTACTTTGCTTTTCCTCCAGAATATGATTTTGGTCTTGTCGTTTGCTCTTGGTGAATCTACCAGACATGAGCTGGATTCTACTTTGCCCTGTGAATTAAAAGGAAAAGTGTTAGGTATATGCTGATCTTGGAAACTCTATTCTTAGGGCTAGAGAATTAGGCATTTGAAGGCAGTCCAAATTTAAGATTTGAGTTCCTCATGATGACAGTAAAACAAGTTATCAGAGGAGTACCTTAAATAAGTAGCTTAGAAACTCACTGAATAAGGATACATGTAAAATTTATGAAGTTAGTTGTCGGGTTAAAGTGAACCCTGAAATAGACGATGCTTTTCCTACAGTTCTACAAACAACTTCTTTCATTCACTTGATTTCCCATTATGATATAAAATTCTAATTAAGTACATTTTTATGTTTTGATCAAAATAACTAAAAGGCTTTCCAAACGTTATTGGACTCATTCAAAGAAAAGTTTACTGAAGGCATGTGTGAACAGAGTTTTCACTAACTGAATAGAGGAACAAAGGTGAGAAACATTTTGAGGGGCTACCATCTCAGGAATTTTGTGAAAGAAGTCTTCTGTGTTACATATAAGCTGATTCTCAACCATGCTTTCCTTATGACAAACCCTGGCTTGTCCTCTTCTAATCATATTGGCCAAAAACTTGTGTCCTGGTTGTAATATCAATTTAAAATAGGTTGTTGACATTTCACAACTCAATCCAAGAAAGGCTCTGCTCTCTAAAAGATTATCTACTTGGGGACTCCTTGTTTTTCAGTTCTGCTTCATTCTCTATTTTCTGCTAATCAAAACTTTGTGAAAATGCCTAGACCCACAAGGTGCTCTGTGCTGGTGGGATTAATACCTAAGCAACAAATCACTTACCTTGAGATTTTTCTAGTGTTTAAGAATCTTCCATCTCTCCTTTCCCCCCTTCATCATCATTCAAGACCTCAGGTAATAGAGGAGGAAGGTTTTATATTGCTCTTAAAGTCAATCACTCTTATCTGCTTTAAAAGTCTGATTTTTTTTTTCATGATTTTTGGCTCTTTCTTTCTTATGGCACCCCTACAGTTATTATTGTAGCTAGGTGGTGTGGTTGATAGAGTGCTGGTCCTAGAGTTAGGAAGACTCATCTTTCTGAGTTCAGATCTGGCCTCAGACACTTACTAGCTATGTGACCCTGGGCATGTCACTTAACTCTGTTTACCTCTCAAATGAGGTAAAATGAGTTGGACAAGGGAGTGTCAAACCACTCCAGTATCTTTGCCAAGAAAACTACAAAATGGGGTCATGAAGAGTTGGACATGACTGAAAACAACTAAACAATAACAATTATCATTATTATTACTGTCAATAATAATAATAATAATTTCCCATTATTAAGTCCTCATATACCTTATCATGGTACAGAGGTGGTTCTGGCTTCTCAAAGGCTATCCTATTAAATATGAATGAGCTTTGAAAGGTCCTGTTGAGATGAAGAAGCTTTGAGTATAGGTCTAGTAATGGTCTGGGTATCTGTCACCTAAAGATAAGTAGCTAAATATAAAGAGACATTTCATTATCTAGAAGCTGGTCCCTAAGACTTTTTTTTATTTCTCTACTAACTTTTGAACTTTACTAAGGTGGTGGGGGAGGGGAGGCATCAATATTGGTGAAATCACACATTTATTTATTTATGGGGGTTGGTGTTAGAATAATACTGGATGGGGGCAGCTAGGTGGTGCAGTGGATAGAGCACTGACCCTGGAGTCAGGAGGACCTGAGTTCATATCTGGCCTCAGACACATAACACTCACTAGCTATGTGACTCTGGGCAAGTCACTTAACCCCAATTGACTCACCAAAAAAAAAAAAAAGGAAAAAAAAGAATACTGGATAAACCACTAGATTTAGAGTTGTAGAGATTTGGGGCAAGTTATTTAATCTCTCTTAACCTCAGTTTTCTCATCTGTTAAATAAGGAAAGTGGAACTGATGGCCTCTCATATCCCTTCTGGCTCTAAAGATATGATTCTATTATTTATTTATTTTAGAAATCTCAGGAAAAATGATAATAGCTAGCTTTTATATAGTTCTTTAAGGTTTTCAATGTGCTTTACAAATATTAACTCATTTGAGCCTCACAACAATTCTGGAGATAAATGGCAGTATTAACCCCATATTATAGATGAGCAAACTGAGGCAAGACCAGAGTCACAGAGCTGCTAAGTGTCAGAGGCTGAATTTGATTTCAGGTCTTCCTGATTCTAGGTTCAGTGTTCTATCCACTGAGCCACCTAGCTGCTTCAGTTTTCCTGAATGAAAAGGAAATGTGGAATTACATAAAGAATAGAAAAGAACTGAAATGGTCACCAAAAAAGCTCCGTAGCTGCTCTGTGCTCTGAGACTTCAACTGAGTTCCTTTCCTCTTACCCATTTTTCAACTCAACCCAGGATTTAACAAGATAAAACAGCACTAAGAAAATTAATCTATTAATTAATCTATTAATCCCCCACTTGAGAGTGTCCACAGAGAACATCTCTGTCATGAGTGAGAATGCTCACATGCTGGTGAGATCACAGTTCCACAGATATCTCTAAATTATGAACATTCCTCAAATAGAATTCAAAAGACACGGATCCAGGTAGCTTTTCACTAAAACCCAATATACCCTAGATGTGGCCTAATATTTCAGATTTAGAGGAGGAAAACTTAGGGCAGGGGTCACAAATAACTGTTCTTTGATGCCAACCACAAAAATCACCACCTATACTTGCACTTAAAGAGAGAGATCTAATAAATCACAAAATCACATACCACTTTCAAGTTAAATACTTTCTGCACAAGAAAGATCAATAAACCACCATAGAAATATGGGGTTTCCCCCTGCCTTGGGTTGGACCTTTGCCTGTTTGGATATAATCTTAAAATTTTCCTCTGACGAATTTTTTTCCTTGTATTCCACTCTGCTCACCAATAGTTTAGTTTGCTTTTTGAAAACTTTCATTCCCAAAACATTGACTCTCCAAAGCAAGCAATGATTAAAACCTAGCATTAGAACCCTCCTTTCCTAACATCTTTCAGAATAACTCTCAGATTACACAGGGACTTTATGTTCGCACTCGAAATGTGAAGATACATGCACCACTTCAAGTTGTCCTAAGCCAGTTCTCACCTTGTTTCATTTACCTTAGTCCTCCAGCAAATCCCAAGCCTGTAGTTCTTTTTGGCTTATTACAAGTTATGTATTCATTTGAAAAGTAAATAACAGAAATGTCTAAATATTTGCTTTTCCCCCTCCCTGGGTACTTGAACTATATCTCCTGTCAGACAGATTGAAAGCCTCCTGAGGGCAGAAACTATGTAGTGTTTCCAAATCTTCTCACAAGGTCTAAAATAACAGCTCGCAAAGTATGGTCCAGGAACCCCAGGGTGTCCCCAAGACCCTTTAAGGTGCTCCTCAATGTCAAAACCGTTTTCACAAAAATACTAAGACACTTTAATTTCTAATATAATAAATATTGATAGACATAAGCCACAGTTAAGGGGGAAAAAAGCTCTTTGAGGGAGATCCTGAATAATTTTTTGTTTATTTGGTTTTTTTGGTGAGGCAATTGGAGTTAAGTGCCTTGCCCAAGGTCACACAGCTAGGAAGTGTCAAGTGATTTGACTCAGGTTTTGATTTGAACTCAGGTCCTCCTGACTCCAGGGCTGGTACTCTATCCACTGCGCCACCTAGCCACCCCTGACCCTGAATAATTTTTAAGAGTATAAAGGAATCTTGGGACTAAAAAGTTTGCGATCCACTGGTCTAGAACAATGTTGTGTAGGCAGCCAGGTGGTATAATACATAGAATACTAGACTTGGAAGTCCGGAAGAGCTAAGTTCAAATCCTGCCTCCAGCTCTTACTAAGTGTGTGGCCTGTAATTTTCTTCAGCCTCACCTTCTTTATCTGTAATATAGGGATAATAGCACATCATTCACAGAGTTGTTGTGGGGATCAAATGATATATTTGTAATAAGTTCTCTGTAAGCCTAAAATTGCTTTTAAGTATTGTTGTTCAGTATGTTCAACTCTTCACGATCCCACAGACCACACTGTCCATGAGGTTTTCTTGGCAAAGATACTGGAGTGGTTTGCCATTTCCTTGCCCAAGAGATTAAGGCAAAGAGAGGTTAAGTGACTTGCCCAGGACCACACAACTAGTAAGTATCTGAGGCCAGATTTGAACTCAGGTCTTCCTGACTCTAGGCCCAGTGTCTTACACACTGAGCCACCTCGCTGAGTCCTTATAAGAATTAGCTGTTATTATCACTATAAATGGATAAACAAGCAGTATGGTCACCAATATTCCCCTGCCATATTTTTACACTCCAAGTTACTACATTTCTTGAAGACCTACATGACCATTTATTCCTCTCCATAGTACTGTGTGTTCTGTTTTTAGCAATGATGAGTAGAACACATAAAATTGAAATTAGGTGATCATTCTCAGACAGCTTTCCTTTTTGGAAAATAAAATTAAATAGGGCAGCTAGACTTGGCATGCCATAGTCCATGGAGTCACCAAGAATTGGACATGAATGCACAACTGAACAATACCAAAGGCTTGACAGGCCCTGCCCGCAAGCCAGTCACCCACAAACCTCAAGGATAAAAGGTCTGGCATTGTAATGACTTAGTTTTTCAGCATTTGAGTAGACATCACAGCATCCGGTTTTAGAAATAGGACTTTTCTGACTCCATCTAGACTTCTCCAGAGAAAAGTCCTGGGTATAGTAGAAGGAGGTGTGAAGGCATGCGGTCACTTTTAGACTTTCTGGAAAGGCATAATCGAAAACATCATTTTCTTTTGTCATCTGCTGTGCTTACCGAATCATAATGGCGCAGATAATATTTCACAACGTAGTCTACTAGACTAATCCCATTATCCTAAAGAGACAAGAGAAAAATAAAGTCACTCACACTTTTAAATTCACTTAAAATCACTTGATTTACATGTTTCCATATTTTAGGTGAAAGGATGAGGTTCAGGCGCCTAACACTAAGTGTGTTAGTTCAAATTGACTTACACCATATTCTCCTTTTTCCTCAAACCTAGCCCTAATAGCTCTACCTTTATCTCTCAGTTTTCCATCTGTACTATTGAAATAAACTTGTCCCTGATAGGAGGTATTATGGGAACGAAACAGATGATGACAGAAAGCAAAATATTTCCACAATATGAGTAAATGAATAAAACCTTTAAGTATTATTATGCACAATGATATAGTAGAAATTGGTTTAGAGACAAATGACCTGCATTCAAATTCTTTTTTTTTTTTTTGGCTAGGCAATGGGGATAAGTGACTTACCCAGGGTCACACAGCTAGTAACGCATTCAAATTCTAAATCAGATATTTACTCCCTGTGTGACCCTTAGCAAAGTCATAACCTCTCTGAGACTCAGTTTCCTTATCTGTAAAAGGAGGGAGGTGAAGCTATGGGCTCTCTAAAGTCTCTTCAGGTTCTAAAACTTTTATCTATATAGTTCCCTGGCACAATGATTAAACAGACACAAAGTATTTCCATTGGGGCAGGTAGGTGGTACAGTGGACAGAGCAATGCATGTGGAGTCAGGAAGACCTGAGTTCAAATCCAACCTCATACTCTACTTGTGTGACCCTGGATGAGATTGCCTCAGTTTCATCATCTGTAAAATGGGGATAATAATAGCACCTATCTCCCAGAGTTTTTGTGAAGATTAAATGAAATAATAATTGTGAAGCACTTAGCACAGTACCTAGCATATATGCATTATATAAATGTTAGCTATTATTATTATTATTTATTAATTATGTTATGAGTTGAGAGGAAATAGAAAAGTGAAAAGGAGACCCAAGCAGAATAGAAAAGTTTCCTATTTCATTCCCCGACACACACAACTTTTCCATCTCTATAGAGAGAAGGAGAGAGGGGCAGAGGTACAATGTAGGAGTGCTCGTAATGGCGTGAAAAAAGGCTTAAAAGGAACACCATGTCATTTTATGACCCTGGGAGACCAGAGGAGAGCAGACCCTCCCACAAGGCAGCCTTTGTGTCCTGTTCACATGGGTCCAATTCTAATTTGCCTGTGTGCCTTCCCTAACCCCGCCCCCCAACCCCCACGGGACTCCAAGGTAGAGGCTGGTGGCTCCTAAAGAACAGACTCTGCAGGGGTGTGGAGCCAAATGATAATCAGGCTCGGGGTCTGTGACAGCAGGTAGACTCCAGCCCAATTGTTGTAGTGAGCTAAAAAGCAATTCAAATGCACAGCCATCGTGATGGTTCCTCATTGCTGCCATTCAGGAAAGAAGAGATTACACGTAGCCAACTCCAGGCTCCACTAGGCTGGCGTTTCATATGACAGATGGGATGATGGCTTATTTGTTTCACATCCTCCTCATTGCTCCTGAAACTCAGCCCCCAATTAGTTCATTTGAAGCAATCGATAGACAGACAGAAACAAAGTAGCATTGGACTCTTCCGTAGAGACCAGATCCAATCATCCCATAGGAAAAACTACCTTGTCTTGGGAAACAAAAAAAGAGCAAAGGCAGGCCAAAAGAAAAATTATGAGGTACATGAATCTTTACAGAGAAGTCAGGGAGAGTAATGGAATATTTCAAAATAAATTATTTTAACTAAGGAGTATGAGAAGCAATGTGGCATCCCGGATAGAGAGATGGACTCACAGTCCCAAGTAGAGATGGGTTCAAGTCCTGTCTTTGGTACATGCTGTCGTTGTGATTCTGGGCAAGCAACTTAACCTCTCATTGCTCTGGTCACCTCTCTATGATTGTACATTACAGAGAGGGTGCTAACTTTTATTAGTATAGGGAGTTTTCTCATTCAAGTGTAACTAATTAAGTAGATAGAGAGAGAAAATAGCTGATGTCCATTACACCAGAATGAATACTTAACCCGACTTTTGACATCCTTGAGTTTGGGCAGAATTTCCAAGCTATACCCATCTGCTTGACCCCGAGTCCTGTTTCCTCCATTCATATAGTTCCCAAAAGCAAGAATCAAGGCTAAAATATCCTTTACGCTCTTCATGTCTAGTAAGCCCTGTGAAAGCAAATAACAAGTTATGATTTGTCTTACACGCCAAATGATAATGCAACTGATGTGTGACAGTAGGCAATAAGATTGTCAGTGGTTTAAAAACACATTTTCCCCAGTTTCCCCAGAAATACCCATAAAAATTACTGCTTTCTATTCACCAAATTATAAGTACTGTATATTTTATACTATTAAAGATTAATTGGAGTAACCATGTTCTCTTTGAATCTATTGATGCTTTAAAAAAAAACCACACCTTTAATAGTCTCTACAGATTTTTTTTTTAAGTCTAACATATTTAGGCTTATTCTTTGATGATTTCAGTGTGGAAAGGAATTTAAAGCCACTTAAGAATCTATTTGAAAGACAGGCAACTCATATATGTACAGTTCAATTATAGTCAGTATGTTACAAACAGTAAAACTTTTCTCCTTTCTCAATAAGTATAAAATTAAGAGGACAACCACTTTGAAAGCAACCTAAGGCCATGCACTGGGATTTACTATGTGCTTGCTGATGAGTCCATAAACTTTTACAATTTAAAACTGTTCAAGGTTTCCTTCAGATCCCCATCTCATTTTGGTTTTCTCCTTATTCTTGTTACTCAAATGAAAAAAAAAATTCAAGAGAACTTATTTCTTCCTTATGGTCTTAGATGGATAGAAATCCATTTCAGTGCAAAGATGAAATGTTTTTTGTTTTGTTTTAAATTACCTCCAATCTTTTCTTCTTCTCTGTTAGGGTGGTACTAAAAGAATTCATTATAATATGGTAATATTTATCGTTTCTTTATTGAAAACATCTAATATTTGGGTTAAAAAAACCCAAGCCTATGACCACTTGAGAACTGATTAAGTATCAAATCATTCACGGAAAATATTGCATTCTTATGGAAATGGATCTTTGAAAGAAAATGGGGAAATGAAACTTTTAAGCCTTGTGCTGAACCTCAAAGTATTTTAACATGTGTGGTATAGCTAGGGCTATGACTATATTGGGCCTCTTGGAGTAAGGAGAGTATTGCCCCATTTGGTGACACACATGCAGAATCTCTCTTTCCCTCTAGTGCCACCCTAGTTACCTTTTTGTAAGCCTATATCAGGGGCCTTGATCATATAAAACTCCTGTAAATGGTCCAAAGATATAGCCAAGAAAAAAATACCAATATACTCTTTAGAATCACAGTCACCCCATATTCTTATGTATTTATTTGCATTACAAGTCTTTAGGATCCATTTTATCTTCCAAACTGGATGAGACCCAGGTGAGCAATCTTACGGATCTAATGCAATATTTTTCTCATTTAAACTACCTAAGAGATACTTTACCTCCGAAGGTTGTTTTGAGGGTAAGAAGAGAACGTATTTAAAATGCGTTTCAATGAGTATAAAACACTATGAAAACCTACATTCATGTCAGTTATTATCATCATTATTATTATTACCAAGTGCTAGAACTATGATAAAATGATTTTGTTTTCAATATAATTGGTTTTGAAGAGCCAATGTTTAGATCTGGAGACATATAGGAGGCATTGATGTTCTTCTCTCCCCATCCCATTTCTACCCTGCAAAAAAAGGGTAGAAAATAACAAAATCCCTATTTTAAAGACCTTTGAAAAACTTAGAGTCCTATGGCTGAAAATACTCTCTGGAGGACATTTCATCTATCCCTCTGTCTCTGAGTATGATATTAAGTTAGGGAATGAACACACCTTTGAAGCCCGTGTAATGATCTCCACCTTTCGATGAACAGAGGTAATACCTTCGGAAAAGACAGATCTGAAGATTATGCACTGGGCACGTTCAGCAAAATTTGGAATCTGGGCTAATTCATATAAGAATCTGTGGAAATAAGAATGAGTTGCACATACACAGATGTATTTGGGAAAATTAAATGACAGAAATAAAATGGAAAGAGCTAGCCTTAGAGTTTTCTTTGTTTGAGGAAGAGCTACTTTTGGTGTGAGATTAAGTACTTTAAATCCAATACCTACAAAAGATGTTGGATGAGATAATCTAAGAACTGACAAAAGTCCCACCACATGGCAAAAATGACTGTGACATGTTGAGGCTGAGGGTCAAGGAGTTCAGTTTCCAGCCAGTTGCTTGCTTGTTATTTGGCATGGTAGATAGCAATGGAATCAGGAAAAGTTGAGTTTAGATCTGATCTTGGACAATTGGTTACTAGCTGTGTGACTCTGGACAAGTCATTTTCACTGCTATCTGCCCTCAGTTTCCTCATCTGTAAAATGGGTATAATAATAGCACCCCCCTTGTCAAGGTTGTTGTGAGGACAAAATGAGATATCTGTAAAGTGCTTTGCAAACCTTAACTATAGAGGTACTAGTTATAAATATGGTTCACATATAACCTTTTTTTCTGTATTTCAGATCCAGCCTCTATTTAAAAAAAAGGTAGCTTATTTAATGGAGATTCCCTGAAGATATACGCATATATCTATATCTATATCTATATCTATATCTATATCTATATCTATCTATCTATCTATCTATCTATCTATCTATCTATCTATCTATATATATATATATATGCCTGTATTATTAGGTAGCAAACTCCATGATGGTAGTGACCATGTCTTATTTATCTTTTTTATCTTCTCTGATGTCTGAAACAGTATTCTGAGTAGGCACTTAATAAATATTCATTGAATTGATCTTAAGCATTTTAGGACCAAAAAAGTCATTGTCTAAAACCATGACCACTGGTCTCTATTGTCATATTTGGTTTGCTCCAAAAGTGCAAACATCAGTGCAAGTGCCTATTTTTATCTTTAGCATTTGAAATCATGCATGGTAACTCCCTTCTTCAAAATACCCATTCTAGCTGTGTTTATAAGGTTAAGTGACATACAGAATTCAGGGCCAGGAAAAAGCAAGTAGACTGTATGGAGTAGTGGAAACAGCAACGACTTGGAAGACCTGGATTCTTGACCCAGCTCGGTTGCCGTGTGATTTTAAGCAAATGTCACTTCTCTAGGTCTCATCTCTCCATTTGTAAAGTTAGGATGTGGATGGAAGTAGCAGAAAGAGAGCTAGATTTGGAGTCAGAAGACAGGTTCAAAATCTGGTTCTGCTACTTGTATGATCTTGGGCAAGTCATTTAACCTCTCTTGTTCTCAGTTTCCCCATCTGTAAAATGAGGAGGTTGGATTAAATAGCCTCTAAGGTTACTTCCAGTCTCAAATCTAGGGTAAGGCAGACACCAGGTGGCCGAGTGGAAAGAGTGCTGGACTGGGAGTTAGGAAGACCTGAGTTCAAATCTTGCCTTTGATATTTGCTAACTTTGTAATCCTGGGCAAGTCCCTTAGCCTGTGTCAGCCTCGGTTTCCCTGTCTTGAAAATGGGCTATACCTTACAGGGTTGCTGTGAGGATCAAATGAGAGAACACATATAAAGTACTTTGAAAGCCTACTACTGTATAAATGCTAGTTATTATCAATTAGTATCAAGGTCCCTTCTAACAATATATGAGCTTCTATAATTTAGATTAGTGGTCTATGTTGATTAAATCACTTGATAACTGCTTGGCCCTTCACTTTTCTCCACATGTGTTGACAAAGTACAAAGAAAACACTAATAACGGATCCCAACAGACAGCTAAGTGTGGGGACTGATCTATACAGTAACTCACTGTCTGAGTCCAGGCATTACTGTTCTTTGCAGACTTAGGCTGGAATAGCTGACAAGTTCTCCAGGCCAACAACCAGAGTAAGGGGCATAAATTAATATGAGTGGAAACAGCTGGTCATGACCTCAGCAAAGGGGAGAATCCACACACTCGGCTATTAATTTGATTTTGGAATTGAGATGATGACTAACTGGTATTTCTGAAGGTCTTGATGGACCCATATAGCACCATTTCCTTGAGGTTTCTGCAGTCTGACATAAAGAATACTTTTATACAGGAGTAAAATTGGAAGGATTTTTACTTCTGTACCCGAAGAAGTTTATTTGGCTCATACTTTATGATCCTTCTACTTCTGGAGATATTTGCACTTCAATAAACTTCTAATAATCAACTGCTTTTCCATACTTAGCCCTCCATTCATGTCAAATTCTTTCATTTGAGGCATTAATTGCTTCAGCAAAGGGAGTCCATAGGAGGAGGGGAGTTCTCCAAAAGCCTTATAACCTCTGGTCACTAGAGTGAATGGCAAGGAAAACAATATGGTGGCAAAGGACAATGATCAACAATAGGGCTTCCTAAGATCACTGGATTTAAAGCTGAAAGGGACCTAAGAAATCTTCTAGGACAACCATTCTTTTATAGTTGAGCAAATTGAGACCCCAGAAGTGAAAGAAAGGCTTTTTTCCTCTTCCCATGCCTTCAGGGATCCAACTCCTACTTGGAAACTGTGTCTCTGATCACACAAATGGTCCTCATCTAAAACCTTTCAAACAGGCAGTCCCTGGTTGAGACTCAGGAACTACGAAGCAAATGTCATTTAATAATGCCCATACCATATTCCTTCAGATAAACGTGGTGAGTCGGTGGTATATTCCTCTCACAAATACTAATCAAACTTCACAGGGACTAATTATCAATACTTGGTCCACCAACCCACCTACTCCATGCTGTTGTTTATCTCTTTGCAGATGAGATCACTGGGGGCTGTGAGAACATTTATTTGCTCTATTGGTACACAAAACAATGTCTTTGTTAATGCCTGTCACTGTGCTTTAGGGACTACATAGAAATTTATTTCTCTGGGTGCATATCTGCATGCAGAAAAAAACCAGGAAGTTACCTTTCTCTTCATTGCCCAACAGAATGACTGTCTCCCTGAGTTATTTCCCCCCTTCCTCAATACCAGTTCCAAGCCCTATCTATACCTTGTAGCAGGGGTTCTTAAGCTGGGGTCTATGAATTGGTTTGGGCAGGTAGGTATTGCAGTAGATAGACCACAAGGGGTTGAAGTAGAAAAAAAAAACACCTGTGTTTAAATCCTGTCACAGATACTTGCTGTGTGACCCTGGGCAAATTCCTTAATCTCTCTGTACCTCAATTTCCTCATCTGTAAAATGGAGATAATAATAACACCTACCTCATAGGGCTCTTATAATGATCAAATGACTGAAGGTACTTTGAAAACCTTAAATTACTATGTAAATGTTAGCTATTATTATTTTTCATCATTTTGATAACAACTTGAATATCATTATTTTTACTTGTAATCCTTCTATGCATTTAAAAATATTATTCTGAGAAGGGTTCTATAGTATTAATTAGACTATCAAATAGCTCCATGACATAAAATTGTGTTTTCAGACCTAAAGTTGATCTTTTTTTTTTTCTTCTGTCCTAAGGGTTTTTTCCTGCCAGGGAACTTGGAACAACTGAAAGATGCCTTTGATTTCACCAAAATAATTACCAAGAAATAGACTTTTCAACACAACTAGAGAGCAATATGTATAAAGGAAACTTTCAAATTTTCTAGGCATTTTTTTCCGGGTTTGTACACATAGAAGGGAGTAGGGCCTGCTATCCAGTTTGGCCGCCTGTGTAAGGAGGAGGCTCGGGAATTTTCAAATTAATTTTGATTAGGACTGTAAGAAATATGCTACCAAGGGACCAACTGGAGACCATCTCCTTAAGATATCCTTTACCATCCCCAGATGTTTTCTCTCCATCTGGTGTTACATCCTACAGTCAGTGATACTAAGGTAGCTATCTAGCTCTTCGTGCCCACTGGAACTTCGCAAGTTTGACAAGACAGAGTTATGTCATATTAGAAGATGGAGATTTCACTGTACTCTTCTTGTCACACGAACAGTATCAGACACCTCTGAAATCATGAGAAACACAAGCCTAATGTTTGAATGGCACTTTACAGTTTACAACATAAGTGGCCTAGCCAGACGAGAACTGAGGCTGTCTCTTAGAAAAGCGTCTCAAAGCAACCTGGACAAGTTCCTATGATACTAAGCCAAATCTGAGTGTGCTAGGATGCTGTAGCTTTCTTCATTTTTATTGGGAAAGGGGCAAAAATGTGTTGAAGTCTTGTCTTTTCAACTAGGTTGTAAACTTCTTGAGGTTAACTTCTATTCTTCTGTGTATGCACCATAATGCCAACCAAATTTGACTTCCACAATGTAGGCAATCAACAAATATTTTTTGATAAATTGTATTTTGTGTAGTCTACCCATGCATCTTTGGGCCAATTATTTCACAGATTCCTAGTATTTAAGGCTATTAGGGACTTCAGAGATAATCTATTCCAACCTTTTTCATTTTACAAATGAGGAAAGTGGGGCTCAATACAAATATACTGTTTTTCTTTTTAAATAATGAACATTTACACACTGAACACTGGGATTTCTCTAGCTTGAGTTTACTAGAAAGTATATTAGCTTCGAATAAGCGCATCTAAGTTCTTAACATTTCCAGTCCTGCTCTTGGATTTAAATACAGTTCCTCTGACTCCAAATCTAGTGTGTGTGTGTGTGGCGGGGGGTTTCCCCACTCGACCCCAATGGAGGAACAAATTCCCAAAGAGTAAGTCACATGTAAAGGGAAAAATGATATATGTAGTTTACAACCTATAAGTGCTATATCAATATGAATAGTTATTTTTTCCTCTCATTTCTTTCTCTATTTTAAAAAAAGATTTTGCTTCAGTCTGAAAATTCAAAAGGCATTCTGAAAAGTTACTTAACATATATTATACTGCATGGTAGTAGTTACCAGAATGCCAGGAGTACTTGGTAACTGTCAACTTGGTTTTGAAGGGCTAGCCATTGGTTTCTTATTTCTGAAGTCCCTGACCAGTTAAAAGGGAGATGGATCTATATTCCAGGGGCTCCTTTTAATCAGTATAGAGCAAAAAGCCCCCAAATCCCTTGTCTAATTCTATCACACAAGTGGCTTTCTGTCTTGTCCTGAGTAGACAACTGCTATACTACAAATGTTTTTCCAATTCTGGGGCTGGGATGGAATAAAACTGATGAGGTGAGTGATGAGCCAACCGCCCCTTGCTATGATTTACAGGACTGGCACCACAGTACTTGAAGGAAATTGCAATGTTGGAACTCAGTAAATGATTCATATTTTCCAGTATGTAAAACATACTTATAGTCAACTCACTAAGAGCTGAAGAGCTAATAGGTTGCCAGAGAGTCAAACTCTGGCAAACCTCAAACACACACAACACTGTGCAGGAGGTCGGGAGGGAAGGTAAAATTTGCTCAGTCTGAATAGTCTCTTGCTCTCCTCTCCTTCCAGAAAAATCTACGCACACCCATCCTGCCAGGAATAACAGAAGTGCCTGGTTTGCTGTCAATGATGCTCATAGACATTCTGAGGAACCATTAAGTTCCAAACCCATTAGATTAGAAATCTCCTCTCCCAATACTTCAATATGACAGCTATCGGGGCAATCATTATTAGGCTAAGAGTTATTATTATACCCATATTCTATGATCCTACATCTTGGCACCTGGAAGAATTCTGGGAAAGGGACGGAGCTGAAAGGAAAATGAAAGTCTTCTGATGGTAGAGATATTAGGAATGGAAGTATAGAGCCAGAGGAGAGATAAGCAAAAGCATCCCTCCCCCAATTACCTACTAGCTATTTGCTCTTTGCTTAAAATATCAACTATAGCTAAAAACCCAGGGCAAAGATGCTTCTGCACAGCTTAGAATTTATATAAGAAATGAAGTTTGAAAAGTATTTTATAAATATTATCTTATTTGAGTCTAATCCTAGGAATTAGATGCTATTATTATTTTCACTGTATAAATGAGGAAACAGAGGCAGGCAGGCAAAGGCTAAGTTACTTGCCTAGGATTACAAAACTAGTACTTATCTAAGGCCACATTTGAATTCATGTCTTCTTGACTCCAGGTCCAGCATTCTATCCACTGAGTAAAAAAAAAAATGGCACTGCTGACTATGGGTAGCAAGATCCTTTCCAAATGTCTCAGTAGGCAACTGCCCACATGGTGTGATTTAAGGAGCACTGAGAAGCTTGCCCTACCTAAATATCTCTCCCCAGATATCTCATATTTTCCATGGCCTAAAATTCCCACCATTAGCTATTTCATAGTCAACCATTAACACGTTTGTGAAACTTAGCAATAAAAAGAGAGCATGGTCTGAGAAGAAATAAGATGCATAACAGGAGCGCGTGGATTGAGGATTAGGAGCCAGGGAAGACAATGAGGAAGGCATGTCTAGACTATGGGGCATTGCAAATGAGGACAGGCTAAGGTACAGCCTCATAGTGAAAGGGCCTGCAACAGTGAAGGCCCTGAGAATCTTATATTAGGAAAAGGAAGAAGACAATGAAAGGACAAGAGAAAGATTTGGAAATGATCTTCATCTGCTTCCTGGTTTTCTGAGGACTATTCCTATCTAAATTCCTGGGGCCATTGCCCAAAGCCTCCAGGAACACATACAAGGTACCCAAAGGAATCTCAGGGATTTAGTTCAATCCCACCATCACTCAGGGGTGTCTAGGACAGACCCAGCTACCCTACAGATCTTCAGCAGAGTATGTAAGGGAGGTTGGAGGGAAATATCTCAAAGTTCAGTACCATATATTCAAGGGCTCCAATCATCTTAAAGAGTTCTATGGATACTCAGTTCCATCTGTTGCCCTAGCATCCTTCCTTATGCTAACTGTGACCAAGGGGCCAAGAGGGCCCTCAGTTTTCTCTACCGTCCTGTGGGTTCTCTGAGACTGGGCTTGGTGTGATCCACCCAAGTCAATAGTAGCTTGATCCCAGGATCCACTTTGAGTCCCTTCCATATCTCTGATCTTCCTACAGCTATTACCTCTATGAATGGAGGAGGGGAAGGAAGAATGACACTGAATCACAATTGCAGAACAAAAAAAAAAGATAGGTATGAACAGGAAAATACAAAGAGAAGCAAAACAAAACAAAACAGGAAGAGAGCCGACTAGAAGAATCTGGGAGCAAAATGTGATCTGGCTTTTATTTATTGGAGGAAACGTTTAGGAAAATAATAACTGTAATTAATTCTGGGGATTCTGATGCTGCTTCTTTCCTAGAGTAGCCAAGTAGTCAGAGCTCCATTATCTTCCTCAGTTACTCTTAGCTGGAATGTTTAGTCTAGGAGGAATTAGTGAGTTACTAAAACTAGGAGGAAAGGGGGAAGGGAGGGGAGTGAGAGAGTATGCAGAAGCTTAAATCTTGATGCCGAATTTCCTGGCATCTGAGGTTATTTTTGTGCCTGTGCAATAGGTCACTGGAATGATTGCATTGTGATCTAACAGACTATAAGAGTTGGGTTTTATTTTTCAAAGCTGATGGACCAGGAAGGTGGCGGTGGCGGGGGTGGGGAGGGGCCGAGGAGAAAGGGGGAAGAGAGAAGGGTGACAGGGTGGAGGAGAGGGTCAGCAATCCCCACTTTGGCCCTAAACTTTACAGTCTCCCCTTCCCACCCAGGGAAGAAACATTCATATTTCCTTACTGCTCAGGTTTGTCCAGTAGTTTAAGTTCCTCTTCTTTGGAGGTTTCATAATGTTTCCTTATTTTTATCAGCTCATCCTTCTGGGCTCTCTGCGATGAAATAACAAAATGGAAGAAATGAGAGGCTGTCTTGTAGAATCACAGGATCTCAGGACTAGAAGGGATCTCAGAGATCATATGGTCTAACCTACACAAATGGTTGGAGTCTGTATGGCTATTCAAGCTGGTGAATAAGAACGTCTTCATATGTGGACCTCCTTTCCCTGCACTGAAAGATATGGAGGCAGCTGGTGGTTTTAAGGCAAAGTATCAGAGAGGAAAAGATTCAGAGGCTGGGCAGCCAATGGTATCAGGTTATACAGACAGGGATCCCAGATACTTATACCCCAGGTTTAGAAATGGCTTTGAGACACACATCAGTTTTCTCCCTTTATAGACATATTGTCATGTAAAACATACTATAGGTATATTGTCCCTGGATGTTTTCCTCAAGGATTCTCTTTTGGTACCCAATATTTCAAGGATGGCAAAGTGGAAAAGAATGACAGATGAGAAGCAAGGATGTCTCAGTTGAAGTTCTGGTTCTAGCATTTTTTAACCCTGTGACTTGGGCAAATCACAACTTCTCCAAACCTCAGTTAACTGTCTGCATAAAATGCATAGTAATAATGTACCACACTGCAAAGAGTTATAGTGAGGATATATGTACTTTGTAAACTTTAAGGTATTATGTAAATGTGAATTATTACTATGTTTTCAGTCTTAAAACTGTTTCTCTTCCCTTTGTGACCCAGAAGTTATATCATACTTGAAACTCTTTAGCCTTCTCCCAGACCTCAAAGAATTTGTCAAAAATATTGCTAATCATTATATGTTTATTATCAGATATATTAACTATTCATCCTATTCATTCTCTTTCTTTGAAGACTGATAGCACTAGCAAAATTTGCACTTGATTATATATTGTTTCATTGGGAGTATATACAGAACAAGTGACTTCTTCAGCAAAGGAACTTTCACCATGGGAATCCCCACCACCAGTGTAGATTAGAACTCACCTATGATTTAGTACTCAAGTCTCAGGAAATTGCCTAAGTAAGCTAAGTTAAATGATTTGTCTGGGACTCCACAGCTAGTAAGCTCCAGAAGTGAGATTTAAAACTGACCCTAAGCCCAACCAGAGTGCCTCTCAATTTATCCACTATGCCATGCTGCAGCCTTATATGATCATAAATTATTTCATATGTGTGTGTTGCCTTTCTAACTATGATGTGAAGTCCTCAAGGGCAGGTGTCAAGACTTGCACTTCTTTGCACGCTCTACAGCAACTCACAGAATGTTAAAACACAAGAATTATTTGCAGAATTCAATGGAATAATTTCCTGAGCCCAAGAATCACCATATAACTGACAGATCCTCAAGTCACTTTTGGGGACTCAGCTCCCAGGTCATTCATTTGGTGACTTGTCTTCTTTGCTTTTATATTCCTCCTAATGCTGAAGGATCCACTCACAAGAACATGACTGTGTTTGCTCTGGCTCTTCCAGGAATCCTTCTCACCTGACTTGGATGATTAGAGTCCTTTTCCACTAATATGACAAATAATCTCACTCTATAGCTTTATGAGTCATTTTACTTCCCAAAGTACTTTCATATCCATCATCTCATTTTGCTCTCACGAGCATCTCTGGGATTAAATTATTGAGTTGTTATCGAGTTGTTTCAGTCCTCTGCAACAAAGACACTGAAGTGGTTTGTGATTTCTTTCTTCAGCCCACTTTACAGATGAGGAAACTGAGGCAAACACGTTTAAGTGACTTGCCCAGGGTTACACAGCTAGTAAGTATCTGAAGCCAGATTTGAACTCAGGTCTTCCCTAACTCCAGGCCTGCTACTCTATCCACTGCCCTGAGATTAAGTAGCAAAACAGTATTATTATTCCTCAAATGAGACCATTCAGGCTCATGGATTTACCCAAGAGAATACATATGGATTTAACCAAGAGCTAGTACTAGAACCTAGGTCTCCTGACAGCTTACTGCTTTTTCTATCACACTAGAGTGTCTATGAAAGGTAGCTCCAACCTTGATCTCATCCTCCACCCCCAGCTTCACAATGTAAATGAGGTCTACTAGCCTGAGTATCACAACAGAAATTTAGGTGGCTCAATTTGTATTATCAACTCTGCCATTAACTACTCTCTCACTGATGGAGAATGATGATGATTAAGAAATTCTGAGAGAAATCGTTTCTGAGTAATTTAGTCATTTTATTAATAAGGCCAGCATGTTTATTAATAAAGGATGGTCATTTGACTGTGTCTTTTAAGCCAAAGACAATCATGGCAGTGGGCTTACAGTTTATATGCTCTTCAAAAAGTAGATGTTCCTGAGGGACATCAATCAACTCTGATTGGTTAATACAATGGGAAGTGGACTATATTAAAATGAGGGTCTTGGGACATGTGACTTTGGGTCACCTAAATCTTGGTCTAAGAGACATCAATTTCCACATCACCTGTCTGACAAAAGGGAGAATCAACACTTCCTAGACCTGTCTGAGCAAACATAATGAGTGGGAATATACCCATTGGCCCAAACTTAGAATTTCTTTTACCGTCTGATTAGATCTTGTCCTGGATAAATCTTTAAGAGAGATTTCCCACACTAGTTGGTTTCTGGATGGGGAAGTAAAAAAGGGTAAAAACCTTGGTCCTAATACAATAATTAGTTATTATATGCAAAAGAAAAATACTCATTTCTCATAGGAGAATGGTGTAATTCTTGTGTCCAGATAAAGCTTATGGACATTTTTGAGGTTCCCAGGTTGTATGAGGTTATATGTCTAAAGGTTAATATAAATCTCTTCCATCTCTTTTTTTTTTTTGGCAGGTTTGTTTTGGCCTGGACTTGTGATTTCATACATATAGGGGACTCTTGGTGTAATGGGAATACTCCTACTAATGAATATCGAACTTGTTAATGACTGATATAGAACATATAAAAAAAAGATGCCCAGGAGTGCCTTATGCAGAGTCACACTGCTACTTTACGTCAGAGGCAGGGCTTGAACCCAAAGTCTACCTGACTTCAAGGCTAGTTCCACTATCCAGTATGCCCCTCTTGCCTTCTTGCTTCTAGCAAAGACAAATAAGGATGAACATCTCAGTTCATCAGGTCTTTGATACTTACATTTTCATACAGGGCCTCCAATGTTTCCAAATCTACTACGGAATCATCCACATTGAAAATTGCTGAGAGAGAGAGAATAAAGTATTTCATTAGACCCCCCAAGCCAACACTTATTTCACTCCCAGTTTCCAGGCAATATAATATCACACATTCTCACACAAGCTATGCCTTTCACCATATTACTGTTCTCCTTCCCTTATCCCCAGGGGGCCAAAATGAAAGGAGCCAAAATGGTTTCTATCACTGGCCTGCGCCCTTGCCCTGCCTCATTTAATTCCACAAACTCCACGTCCCACTGCTGTTTAATTTAGGCTCTGCAGGGGAAGTGTTTATGCTTTAGAACTAAACCAGGGTGTAGGTTTGAAGAACGTTTTTTAATCTTTCTTCCCCACCAGTAATTGAAGAGATTTAGTACCTAGTGTCACAGACCTGACTAAAGGATTCTTTCCCTTTCTGTGGGGAAACAAAGAAAATTTTTGTAAATTAAATTTATCCAGGCATGTGATTTCAAGCACCTTTCCACAGCCAACTCAACATCTTGTTTAGGTTACAAAGAGAATGAAGAACAAAATAGTGTTGATGGCAAATGAAGATTATGGCCACCTCCCAAATCCCAATCTTAAAGCAACCTCTCTGTACCCCAATCTTATCACCATTTGAATTGTTGCACTGTAACCTAAACAAGGCATTTAGCTGCTACCTGATACTCTCTCCATTTCAGCTGTGTTCGATTTCTTCCCTTCAATGTGGGGACACAAACCCTGAGATTTAAAAGCCCTCATGGATTTGGCTATCCAAAATGTTTGAAATAGGCAAGGCTCACATCTTTAAATAATTATTCAAAAGTAATAAGGCTTCTTCTCCACCCCACCCCCCACACTCTGTTCCCTGATTTTACATTGTGAAATTAACCAGCAGGCTAGTAAATTTTCTCCATGGCAGGCTAATTAATTTTATTAAAAGGACCAGTGACATTTAGAATGCTTTAAAATTTTGCCTGTCAATTATTAATCTGTCCATTGGCATTACAACGTGACTCCTGGAGGAGGCAGAGGGGAAAAAATACAAACATGGTAAAGACCATCAATGTAGGATTCAAGTTTACTTCAATTCATGTGGTTTTCTTTTTCAAGTTAGGACCTTATGAATCACTTTACCAAATTCGACGAAGCTATTTAGCTGTACTAAGATCTAACTCATCATATGATACTAAGCAAAGACCTCAAATTCCTTGATTCACCACTCATTGTAACACCTAGGGTTGACCTGTGGCTTTAGGGATGTGGATGGGGAAAGAGCAGGTAAATACTTTAGTAACAAAGCAAGGCATCTAAGCTTTGAGTGAAGCCCAAAAAGCTATATACCACAGAGACCAATCTGAAACCACTAAATGAAAATGCAGTCATCACTTGAAGGAAGGAGGAAAGAATTTACCTTCCCAGCAGGACTGTTATTTTATGTGTGTCAATAATATGAACTCACTAATTTATCAGATGGAACATGCCTTTAAACCTCCGGCAACTGTTTAAATGAAATGGCCAGATACCTTTTCAGCCTTATGCAAATCCCATTACCTTCTTACAAAAATCAGCCAACAAAATTTGGGGAAAGTACCTAGAGTATTTTTCTCACATCTAAATTAAAATTTCGATAGATCCTGATATTGTATTTGAATAGCAAAATCAAAAGGTTATCGTGCAAATTTAACCTTATTTAGCGTCAATAAGCATCCATTCTTTTTTTCACTTAAAGATTCAATAATTTAGTAAGTGTCAACTGATTATCCTCTGTGTTCTAGATAGAAGGGAAAAAAACACATGAACTATAAAGAAACTTCATTAGTGATCGTTAATTTCTCACTTATTTCCTTCACTACCTAGAAGAGATGTCAAAAGGGAAAACTTCAACCACTCTGATTCCTAACAATGATGCAAATGCAGCCTCCTAGAATTTTACAGGTATTGCAGAGAGAAAATGGGCAGGCAACAGAATATACTGCATTATATTCTTTCTTATCTGCTGTCTGAAGCTTTCTATGATTACAATCATTTCTTCCCAAACGGTATTCCTACTGCACTTATTTATCTATGTATCATTCATTTGATACCTGTCATTTACTTATTATTTTTTAGGTTACAGATCTGTACATTAATTGGTCATCTGATATATACCCTTTTGTCATTAGGAATATAAAGTATTATTACCACTCCCGCACCCCCATTTTACAGATGCATTAAGTAAGGCCAAAACAATTTGAGATGATTTAAACCATTTGTTTTAAGCTATATAGCTAGCAAATAATCTAGGCTTAGTTGGAAGATATGGGTAAGATTAGAATACAGGTCTTCTGCATCCTAGTCTGGGCTTTTTTGTTGCACTATATCATAATGCCTCAAGCACCTTGAGGGCAGGAACCATTTCTTAGACTTCTTTACATACCCTACACTTAGTCTTAAGGCCTAGCAGGTAATAAGCACTTAATAAATGCTTGTTGTGCAAAAGCACAGCCTATAAAATTTGAAGTATGTTATACTAACCCAGAAAACCAACAAGGAAGTCATCATACCAGGAAAAAAAAAGTCATTTTCTGATATGACTTTGTATTACCTGAGGTCCGACAAAATCTCATTTCCACCCTATTTTGAACTTGTGCCTTTCATCTTGTTATTCCAACAAAATGAACAAATACCAAAACTCCAAAAAGCATAATGCAGCCAGCCTTAAGACCCCGATACAGTATTCCAGTTTTTGATCTCCTCTCCATATCTCATTATACCAACACTCCTGCAGATGGTGTCTGAAAGGTGAAGTGTCAGATCCACAAAGCGAAGACCAATCATTGCTGGGGGTTTTTACTTTTATCTTGCTCTCTCCTGAGCTGTCCCCCTCACACTGTCAGTTCAGTTAGAATACTTCACCTACACCTCACAATATGTCGAAAGGAAGTAGACACACGCTGTGAAAAGCTGGTAATTTTATTGGGTTCCTTTACCTTTAAAAATCTGTTACTTGGCTGAGTCTGGTTTCTGAGCTCCTTTTTTGCAGGGAAATTGAGGCAAACATTTTTATGTGGTTCTCTGGTGCCTGCTCTCTACTACAAGAATTTATATACACAAGGATCATTAGCGTAGTGTTTCACCCATTAAGATATAATAACCGTCAGCCTGGACAAAAAGCAGATCCGCATCATGCATTCAAACTAACAGGCACACATAAAACTATGTGCCAGTTCCAGGCACAGGCAGAGGGCCTTGCACAAAAGGTAAGCTTCCCTCTCAGACTTAAAAACTGCTTTTCACAGGTTTAAAGGTAAGCAGAGTGAAAACTAGGAATTCTCACTGCCCTACGCTCCATTTTCTCACCCTCAACACTTTCTAATCTCAAGTTAAACCAGGTTCAAAGACAAAGCATCAAGGAAGCTGCTGCTAAGATAGTCTAAATGGTGAAAACAAAGTTAGCTGTCAAATTTGATGGACTCTGATATGATCTGTCCCTTTTCCTAGAATCTCTGACTCACACACACAAAATAATTCTTACATACTGCATCATCTTCTATCATACGATTCTATGTCTCTCCCCTTTACTACCTTGAATACAGTTGGTTAAAAAATATGACAATAAGTCAATAAATATTTGACAACTGGTTGAGTATATTCTCAGCAAAGAGAAGACTAATGAAACAGCCCAAGCCTGCTAATGGGGAAGGCTTTGCTAACTTTAACACCCTAATAGCTCACTCATAAACCATGTGGGGGCTACTGATGGGATCAGTTTCAATGATGTTTCATTATGAATCCTTATTTTTCTGCTCATTTTTGGGCTTTAAAATTGCTTAATTTGGGAAAGAAGGAAGTAAAAATCATGGAGCAGTCTAAAGGCCTAAAGTCAGAAGATCTAGATTCAAATCCTTCCTCTGGCAATTACTATCTATATGTCACTTTCTGGGCCTCAGCTTTCTCGACTATAAAATGGGGAGGTTTGATTAGCTGGCCTCTCTAGGTTCCTATGCCTCTGTTCTTAAAATAACAGCAACAATAATATTAATTAACACATATAATGATTTAAGGTTTGCAAAGCACTTTATATATGTTAACTCATCTGATTCTCAGAAGAACTTTGTGATGCAGGTGCTATTATTATAAACATTTTACAGGTGAAGAAACCGAGGCACAGAACAGTTAAATGATTTGCTCAGTGGCACACAGCCGGTGAATGTCAAAGGCCAGATTCAAACTCACTGCTACCCAGCTACACCAATTTATTATGTCCTTCTACTGTGCCCAGAAGATACAAGAGGATATGTATCTATATCTATATATCTATATCTATATCTATCTATCTAATCTATATCTGTCTTCAAGGGGATTAATCCATAAATGGGATTTCAAATAGGTATCTCCTACCTTTCCCTTTCTATCCCATTATACTTCTATATGTATAATCAGACCCCTTTATCCCAGAATAATAAAAAGTGGAGGAGGGTTTAGGATTTTAGATCCAAGGAAGGGTAGATATATTATTTCATCAGGTTTTCTGTTTCTTTTATGTCAGTTCTGGCTTTAAGCATATTAGCATTTTAGGTAAGACTATTAGGCCTTCAATTACTAGTAGATTTTTAGCATAAAAGAGATATTTTTAAGCCTAGAGTTTCACTAATGATCCTATTTTTGAATACCAGCTAGAAAAATCAGTTACTGGGGTCTAATATGTAGTGGGAACATGATTAAATAAATTGTGGCACATGGATGTAATGGAATATTACTATGCTCCGATATGAACGTGATAAACACAGAGAAACAGACAGATGTATATGAACTGAAACAGAGTAAACAGAGCCAAAAAAATAATATACATAATAACTACAACAATGTAAATGAAAGAACCACAAAAAAGTAATTTTTGCAAAATGATGAAGAATAAGCATGGCTTGAAAGAAGAGACATGAGAAGACACTCCCATTGCAAAAGAAAGAGGTCCACAAGTGTTGCACACTGCACATATTTTCATACTTTTTTGATGTATCGATCAATTATGCTGAGTTTTTTCTACTTTTCTTTTTTGT